ACGCTTGGGTTCGAGATGATGATGATGAACATATATATTTTTTTTGCTGTGGGTTTGGTGTTTGATGATGATGAAGAAAGCAAGGCAAGGAAGAGGAAGGAAAAAAAAAAGGCGTTGTTTGGGTTCGATTCAACCCAGGTGCTGCTGGGTTTGTTTGGTGTTGGGTTTGTTTGCTCAAGGAAGAAGATGATGGCAAATTTGTAATTTTGGTGGGTCCCACTTTTGTTGAGTTGGCCATGACATGTCACGTTGCCATGTCATTATTTAGTCATTTATATAACTGACGTGTCTCAAATATTTGACACTTCATTAAATTGCCATGAGATAACGGTGAGATTTTAACAGAAGGACCAAATCGGGGTAAAAATGGTAAACAGTAGGGACCAAATCAGGGATTTTTTTAGTTCAAGGACCAAGTCAGGGGTCCGTACAATAGTTCAGGGACTAAAAAAGGGTTTTAACCTAATCTTTATCAGAATACACATGAGTGTAGAAACAAATATTATTGGGTAAAAAAAGAAGATAAAAATTAGACTTTAATTCAAATACAAAATCTAGTCAAATTTAAATGCAAAATCTCTAAACAAATATTTAGAGGTAACAAGCAAACATAAATGAAATTTTCTTTTCATGGTCCTCTTTATGGTTCTCTTTTTCCGTTTTTTCTCGCCCTTTTTTTTTAACCTTCCCAGTGGCTGCACTTGTCTCTATTTTTTTTTTTTTTGCCGTCCACATATATAAATAAAAAATATTTTGCAGCCTAATATTATATAGTTGAAAAGACTCTAATATTGTATACATTGAAAAGATATTAAAAATTAAATTTTATTAAATAAAAAATGTACGTAAAATTAATAAGAAATGAAATCTTATTAAAATTAAATATATAGCAATACTTAATACATGTTTGGATATTTATTGATTTTTTTTTTACAATTTACCGAGTATTTATTAAAAAAAATTTTAAATCCAATTGATATTTATTTAATAATTTTTAAAAAATTATTATTATTATTATATATATAGTTAAAATTAAAATTAAGATTAAGTTATTTTGGTAAAACAATAATCATGATGCCACCTGACATCGTCTTAATAGACTAATCAGTGTAGCTTTCCATGACACTTGTTGCAGGATCCTAGAGTCGGGCAGATGGTTAAGTGCTACTTTTTCGCCTCACCAATTTGACTATGAAATATGTGGCTATTTATTTCCGCCGTTAAGATGGTTAAGATTTAAAGAACACTAAAATTTTAGTTTTTTTTTTAAATAATATTTTTAAAATTAATTACCTAAATAATTTAATGATTATATTTTTTTGTTGAAAATAAAAAATTTTAGATTTGAATTGCATAACATGTGATAAAGATAAAAAATAATGTATGAAAGATAATTGTTTCTCATTATATAATTAAAATAAAAAAAATAATGTTTTTAAAAATTAATATATTAGTTAATTTCAATATATTAATTAATAAAAATTAATTATTTTATTAGTTATTGATATTATAATTATTAATAATATTTATTAATTAAATTAAATAAAATTAATGTTTTTATATACAATATTTTACCATTTTAATGATCATATCAATAATATTTGTCGTCGTAACCTTACCCATTATAAAAGGGCAAGCCTTACATTCGCAAAAGGTATTTCTCATTCCAATTGCACATAGTAATTCGTTTCTATCCTTCAAAAAAAAAAAAAAAAAAAACATTTTAGTCCTCCGCAAACCGCAACACACTTATTCAAGGGGCTTGATTATTGCTGCGTGGCCTTTTGTTATAACCACAAAAACAATATAGTAGATGTATTTAGTTTGATTAATTTTATTAGTTTATATATATATGTAAAAAGATATTGTAATTATGGTATTTAAAAATATTATTTAAAAATTAATTTTATTATATTAAATAATAAATATAAATTATTTATCAACTAATAACTAGAGTTATCAATTAATCTTTTTTGCCAAAACAATATTTTATGTGATCTTGTGTGGCAATAACTATAATTATTAAGAAGGAACTAAAATGTTCTTAATAAGATATAAAGTCAATATACAAGTGCATAATCCACTAGCTATTAAAAGAGAAAAAATAACTTACATACATGTCTTTTCTGTTTTGCAATTAGCAATCTAAAATGCATTGGGTTATAATACAAAAATTTTTAAATGAGGGGAACCGCCTCCAATATCAAGGGGTGGGTTCCCCACTTAAAAATTTAAATTATAGAATTTAATACAATTAAGTACAATATAAATAAAAATATTATAATTATAATTTTGTGTAATATTATAAGTTATAATATTAAGTGTCTTTATATAACTAATATTTTTATATTCAAGATTTATTTATAATATTATATATTTATTTATTATTATTTTATATTCATTTAATATCCTATTATAAATATAAATTTATAATTATAAATAATATTCTAATTATAAGATTGCTACAATCCAAACTACTCACTACTTTTTTTTGCATATACATGTATAAAATTTTTGCCCAATCTGGTTGTCTAGTTAAGGACTTAGGGTTATATTAGTCCCCACAACACTTTCTCTTTTGAGCAATTACGATGTTTTTAATCTAATTTACACGTATATAAAAATTAATCCACGCTCACCACTACACTTTGGAAAAGTTGGTGAATGTCAATGTTGTGACCATCAACTTGTCATTTACTCATTTACCCAAAAAAAAAAAAAAAACCATCGCATACATATGCATTAAAAACTTTCTTTTGAAAAGCATTTCTATAACCTATGTGAGACAAGCCTGTTTCAATTGAAAAAAATTATTTTCAAAACATGAAAGGCACATGACAGGGTCACATATCATAATTTCTCATCCCAAAAATCAAACATAACTTTCAGTCACGCCAACAAATGATTATATTTATACCAATCCCACAATGTCAATGACTACAAGAATGTAAACCATTGTTAAGCGAACAATTTAAACCAAGCCTGTAAAATTCAAATGTAAGCCAAGAACAGAGATAACCATCATATGGAGAACAAGGAATGGAAAGACACTGAACTAAAGCAAGTAAATGATATTAGCGAATATAAATGACAAAATGAACAAGATAAATTTGGATTGGCATGATATGAAGAATAAAATATAATCATTAATACATCTCAGCTTTGACAAAATAATAATAAAAAGAAGCAGGGGCAAACAATAGAGAATAAAAACCAAATATTTGAAGATGAACTACACTGAATGCTAAAACTAGAATAACTCAAGCAAAATTTTCAAGAAAGATTTAACAGATATCCACAAAATAACATAAGCATATAATATTGATGAAGAAACATCACACTAACATGCAAACCCCCAAATGACAGCAAACATAGTTCACCAAATTCAACCTTCCAAACCTACTCGCAGCAAGCAAAACTAAAACAAAAGGCCGAATGCAGCAAAAATCGATGAACACAATTACCATGCAGAATAAACAAGTAAACTCAGATTCAACAACATCACGTCCATAGATCATAATTGCACCGAACCTCCCTTATAGCTCAGCAAACAGCTAGGCCATGGACGCTAAGCTAAAATATATTCGGTTCGCCGCCATGGCCTAGACTAACAGTTCAACAATTTCTCGAATTAAAGTGCAGGAAATTGAAAATCAAAGTAGAAACGAACTGAAAATTTTGGAAATTTTTATTCAAAATTGAAAGTGGCTTACACTGATAAGGAGAAGAAACCAGAGACTTCACGTACAAAGCTTCAGAACTAGATCTAATATAGTTTGGGGGTAAACAAAGACCCGATGACCATAGGAATGATGAAGGATCCTGGATCACCGGGAAGTAGGGGTGGCAGGAATCGAGTTTTGCTTCTAAAATGGGAACTACAAGCTTGGGTGAACCACAGTACAGTTCCGATTGAACTCCCTAAAAAACTTACCGGAACCCAGAATCCCCTGAAATC